TCCGTCAGATAGCTCCCTGGGCGTCGCAACCCTCGGACACCGGTAGGGTGATGATGACCCGACCGTCGCCGTCCGGCTCGACCGTAATCCGCCAGCGTACGTTGCTGCCCTTCGTGATCCGCTCAGCCTTCTTCATCGTGCCCCCGTCCACCGTGAAGGCGTGGTCCCGCAGGGTCACATAGCTCAGCGGGAACTCCTCGCTGAAACGCAGCTCGAAGGTGAATGTGGAGCTCCCGTCATGGGACGACGGCACGTCGTGGGCGCTGGCCGTCAGCGGCGGTCTAACGACTGCCGCCACCACCGCGCCCGTTGCGGCGCTGGTCAGCGACTCCTCGTTGTCTCCGTCGTCGGTGAAGGACACCCTCACCCTGATGGCCTGCCAGCATCGGCCGGCCAGGGTTGGAGGAGGGAGGAAACGGTTGCCGTTGAGGGGGGAATAGTTCAGCGTCGTCGGCGAAACCACTGGTAGGGACCGCGTAGGGGTGCGTTGTCGAGGCCGTCGTCGTCGGATATGCGCCGGCGGTTGTCAGCGGTGAGGTCTCGCGACCTGGCGGTGCCGGTGATGGTGGAGCGCCCGTCGCCGGGGTGTTGGAGAGAGGAGGAGCGCCGCCACCGCTCCCGTTGCGGCGCTGGTCAACTCCTCGTCGTTGTCCCGCGTCGTCGGTGAAGGACACCCCACCTTGATAGCCTTGCCCGCATCGCGTCGGCACAGGGTGTAGGTGTAGCGTTGCCCCTTGATCTCGGCGTCGTCGGCGAGCCACTGGTAGGCGAAGGCAGCGTTGTCGAGGCCGTCGGCGTCGGATATGCCGGTGGTGTCGGCGGTGAGGGTCTCCCCCCACCCGGGCGGTGCCGGTGATGTGGGAGCGCCCGTGTGCCGGGGTGTTCGGCCCCGGAACGACCAGCAGCAGCCCACCGGACAGCTTCCCGCCGTCCTCTGCAGATGGCGCCCTGGGCGGCGCAGTCGGTGGTGGCGTTCAGGGCTATGGTCACGTCGGCACTGGAGCTGGGGGTGACGGTGATCTCCCAGCGGACGTTCTTGCCCGGCTCCAGCCGGCGCACATAGGTCACCGATCCCCGGTCACGGTGAACGCATGGTCCCGCACCGTCGTGTAGCTGAAGTCCGCTTGGGGGTCCTCGCTGAACCGCAGCTCGAAGGTGAACGCGTCCTGCCCGTCGTGAGAGGACGGCTCACCGCTGGACACTGGCAGTCAGGCGGTTGGATCGTCCTGAGGTTCAACCTGTCTCGATGTTCCGGCCGAAGCCGTGTCGTTCGTGACCGCCTGTCGCTGAAGGAGGCCGCCTTCCTGCCGCGGGTGTCCCGAATGAAATCGGGGCCGTCGGGCGCGGTGTAGTCCACCGTCACCGTGTCCCCGGCCTCCACCGCCGAGGACAGAAGCAACAGCACATTGGATCCGCCCACCCCGACGCCGATGAGTGACCGGGATGACCCGTTCACGTTCACGGCGAAGGAGTCGTCCCCAGCGTGACCCCCGTTGTCCAGGACCTCGCTATAGGTCAGCGTCAGGGTGACGCCGTCCACTGTGGCCGACTGGAGCTGCAGGCCCGCCGCCGTCACCACGGTGGGCGCGCTGGTCAGCGTCTCCTCGTTGCCCCCGTCGTCGGTCGAAGGCGACACGCACCCTGATGGCCTTGCCCACGTCTCCGGACACTACGGTGTAGGTGGCGCCGGTGGAGCCGGCGATATCCGCGTCATCGGCCAGCCACTGGTACTGGAAGACAACGTGATCCAGGCCGTCGACGTCCGCAATGGTCGTGGTGTCGACAGACAGCGTCTGCCCCACCTCCGGGATTCCATTGATGCGCGGCTCACCATCGGCCGGGGTGTTTGAGAGGGCGTGCTGGCCGGAGGCAGGCTTCGTATAGGTAATTTCATTGGATGGCTCGCTGTCGCCGACGCTGTCGGTCGCTATGACCCGGATGTTGTACTCGACCCCGGGGGTCAGCCCGTCCAGAAAGTGGGAGACGGGGCGTTGGGAACTGTGGCCCCGGGTGGTCTCCGACACGTCGGTGGCCGTGTCCCAGCTGCCGGAGGACTGCTTCCACTGGATCTTGTAGCTGTCCACCGGAGGCACTCTGTCGTTCCTGGTCTGGGGTGTGAGCCAGTACAACTGCGTCCTCCCTCCGTCCTCCTCCCCTTTGACACGCAGGTACAGGGGCGGATTCAGCGGCTGCGGCGTCCGCTCCGATCTTGGGTCCTCCACGAGCCTGAGCTTGTAGGGTTGGCCCTCCTTCCAGGCGCGGCGCAGGTCGTCGATATCCCCGCCTGACCACCGCCACCAGGCTCCAGCTAATTTCCTGGCTTCGCTGAAGCGAAGCGTCGCGGTCAGCGTTTCGCCGTCGCTCACGGTGCTGACGTGCAGCGTCCAGTCCAGCCAGTCATTGTTCGGCGGCTCCAACACCTGGTCGCTCGTACCGCTCAGGTTGAGAAAATCAATCAGGAAGTGCGTCCGTTCTGGTATGCCGAACGGCAGTACGACATGGTTGTCGTCGCCGGAATCGTGACCGTTCTGGGGCACAGTGATTTCAAGCAACTGGTAGTCCGCGCCGTTGTGGCTGAACTCCCTGTTGTCGACTTCAGCGGTGTACAGATCGTACCTGCCCTCCCAATGCACCGTGGCGTTAAACTTCATGGTGGCGCACCAGATGTCGACGTCCCCGCAGTCATCGTCGGTGATCGTCACCGGCAGGTCCTTCGTTATGCTGGCGTAGTCCCCGCCCGAGGCGGTGTGCGTCAGCGTCCCGGTGTCGTTGGCGCCGTCGTTGTCCTGGCCCGCCTTGACCGTCACCGTCTGCGCGGTGTTCCAGTTGTCCACAGTGAAGGTCAGCATGTTGCTGCTCAGCGTGGTTCCCGACAGGCTCAGGTCCGTGCCGTCGTGTCCTGAGATGGTGACCGTGACGCTGCCCGAGGGCTGGGTGGCCAGCTTCACGGTGTAGCTCGACCCCGCGGCGTCTCCCTCCGTCACGGTGAGGTCCGTCTCGCTGAGCACGATGGCCGCCTCGTCGTCGTCGGTAACCGTCACCGGCAGGTCCTTGGTTATGCTGGCGTAGTCCCCGCCCGAGGCGGTGTGCGTCAGCGTCCCGGTGTCGTTGGCGCCCGTCGTTGTCCTGGCCCGCCTTGACCGTCACCGTCTGCGCCGTGTTCCAGTTGTCCACAGCGAAGGTCAGCATGTTGCTGCTCAGCGTGGTTCCCGACAGGCTCAGGTCCGTGCCGTCGTGTCCTGTAATGGAGACCGTGACGCTGTCCGAGGGCCGGGTGGCCAGCTTCACGGTGTAGCTCGACCCCGCGGCGTCTCCCTCCGTCACGGTGAGGTCCGTCTCGCTGAGCACGATGGCCGCCGTGTCGTCGTCGGTGACCGTCACCGGCAGGTCCTTGGTGACGTGACGTAGTCGCCGCCCGAGGCGGTGTGCGTCAGCGTCCCGGTGTCGTTGGCGCCGTCGTTGTCCTGGCCCGCCTTGACCGTCACCGTCTGCGCCGTGTTCCAGTTGTCCACCGTGAAGGTCAGCATGTTGCTGCTCAGCGTGGTTCCCGACAGGCTCAGGTCCGTGCCGTCGTGTCCTGAGATGGTGACCGTGACGCTGCCGAGGGCTGTGTGGCCAGCTTCACCGTGTAGCTCGACCCCGCGGCGTCTCCCTCCGTCACGGTGAGGTCCGTCTCGCTGAGCACGATGGCCGCCGTGTCGTCGTCGGTGACCGTCACCGGCAGGTCCTTGGTGACGTTGACGTAGTCGCCGCCCGAGGCGGTGTGCGTCAGCGTCCCGGTGTCGTTGGCCCCGTCGGCGTCCTGGCCCGCCTTGACCGTCACCGTCTGCGCGGTGTTCCAGTTGTCCACGCGAAGGTCAGCGTCGTCTTGTCCAGCGTCAGGTCGGTGCTGTCGTGTCCTGAGATGGTGACCGTGACGCTGCCCGAGGGCTGGGTGGCCAGCTCACCGTGTAGCTCGACCCCGCAGCGTCTCCCTCCGTCACGGTGAGGTCCGTCTCGCTGAGCACGATGGCCGCCGTGTCGTCGTCGGTGACCGTCACCGGCAGGTCCTTCGTGACGTTGACGTAGTCGCCGCCCGAGGCGGTGTGCGTCAGCGTCCCGGTGTCGTTGGCCCCGTCGGCGTCCTGGCCCGCCTTGACCGTCACCGTCTGCGCGCGTGTTCCAGTTGTCCACAGTGGGAAGGTCATGCGTCGTCTTGCTCAGCGTCAGGTCGGCGCCGGTCTGTCTTAATGGTGACAGTGACGTGCGAGGCGCTGGGTGCCAGCGTACTGTGTAGCTCGACCCGCGGCGTCTCCTCCGTCACGGTGAGGCCGTCTCGCTGAGCAGATGGCGCCGTGTCCGTCGTCGGTGACCGTCACCGGGAGGTCCTGCGTACGTTGACGTAGTCGCCGCCGCGGCGGTGTGCGTCAGCGTCGCGTGTCGTCGCGTCGTTGTCCTGGCCGCCTTGACCGTCACCGTCTGCGCAGGTGTTCCAGTTGTCCACGTGGAGGTCAGCGTCGTCTTGTCCATCGTCAGGTCCGTGCTCGCTGTCCTGAGATGGTGACGTGACGCGGTCGAGGCTGGGTGGCCAGCTTACGTGTAGCTGGACGCCGCGGCGTCCTCGCCTCCGTCACGGTGAGGTCGTCTCGCTGAGCACGATGCCGCCGTGTCGTCGTCGTGACCGTCACCGGCAGGTCCTTGGTGACGTTGCGTAGTCGCCGCCCGAGCTGTGTGCGTCAGCGTCGCGCTGTCGTTGGCCCCGTGCGTGTCCTGGCCCCTCGACCGTCACCGTCTGCGCCGTGTTCCAGTTGTCCACAGTGAAGGTCAGCAGGTTGCTGCTCAGCGTGGTTCCGACAGGCTGCAGGTCCGTGCCGTCGTGTCCTGAGATGGTGACCGTCGACGCGGTCCGAGGGCGTGTGGCCAGCCTGACGGTGTAGCTCGACCACCGCGGCGTCTCCCTCCGTCACGGTGAGGTCCGTCTCGCTGAGCACGATGGCCGCCGTCGTCGTCGTCGGTGACCGTCACCGGCAGGGTCCTTCGTTATGCTGGCAGTAGTCCCGCCCGAGGCGGGTGTGTGCGTCAGCGTCCCGGTGTCGTTGGCGCCGTCGTTGTCCTGGCCCGCCTGACCGTCACCGTCTGCGCCGTGTTCAGTTGTCCACGGTGAAGGTCAGCATGTTGTGCGTCAGCGTGGTTCCCGACAGGCTCAGGTCCGTGCCGTCGTGTCCTGTAATGGAGACCGTGACGCTGCCGAGGGCTGGTGGCCAGCTGACCCGTGTAGACTCGACCCGCGGCGTCTCCCTCCGTCACGGTGAGGTCCGTCTCGCTGAGCACGATGGCCGGCTCGTCGTTGTCGGTAACCGTCACCGGCAGGTCCTTCGTTATGCTGGCGTAGTCCCGCCGAGGCGGTGTGCGTCAGCGTCCCGGTGTCGTTGGCGCGTCGTGTCCTGGCCCGCCTTGACCGTCACCGTCTGCGCGGTTCAGTTGTCCACGGTGAAGGTCAGCATGTGCTCGTCGTGTTCCCGACAGGTAAGGTCGTGCCGTCGTGTCCTGTAATGGAGACGTCACGCTGCCGAGGGCTGGTGGCCAGCTTACGGTGTAGCTACGACCCCGCGGAGTCTCCTCCGTCACGGTGAGGTCCGTCTCGACTGAGCACGATGGCCGGCTCGTCGTTGCGGTAACCCTCACCGCAGGTCCTTCGTTATGCTGGCGTAGTCCCCGCCGAGGCGGTGTGCGTCAGCGTCCCGTTGTCGTTGGCGCCGTCGTTTGTCCGGGCCCGCCTTGACCGTCACCGTCTGCGCAAGTCCCAGTTGTCCACGGTGAAGGTCGGATGTGCTGCTCAGCGTGTCCGACAGCTCAAGGTCCGTGACCGGCGTGTCCTGTATGGTGACCGTCACGCTGCCGAGGGCGTGGTGGCCAGCTGCACGGTGGAGCTCGACCCCGCGGCGTCTCCTCCGTCACGGTGAGGCCCGTCTCGCTGAGCACGATGTCCGCCGTGTCGTTGTCGGGGACCGTCACCGGCAGGTCCTTCGTATGCTGCGTAGTCCCCGCCCGATGCCGTGTGCGTCAGCGTCGCCGGTGTCGTTGGCGCCCGTCGTGTCCTGGCCCGCCTTGACGTACCGTCTGCGCCGTACAGTCGTCCACGCGTGAAGGCAGGCTCGTCGTGCCAGCTCAGGTCCGTTGCCGTCGGTCCTGTACATGAAGACTCACGCGTCGAGGGCCGGGGTGCCAGCTCACTGTGTAGCTCGACCCCGCGGCGTCTCCCTCCTCACGGTGAGGCCGTCTCGTGAGCACGATGCCGCCGTCGCTTTGTCGGTAACCGTCACCGGCAGGTCCTTGGTGATGCGGCGTAGTCCCCGCCCGAGGCGGTGTGCGTCAGCGTCCCGCTGTCGTTGGACCCCGTCGTCCTCGCCCGCCCTGACCGTCACCGTCTGCGCGCGTGTTCCCAGTTGTCCACGTGAAGGTCAGCGTGCTGCTCAGGTGGTCCACAGGCTCAGGTCCGTGCCGTCGTGTCCTGTAATGGAGACCGTGACGCTGCCCGACGGCTCGGTGGCCAGCTGACGGTGTAGCTCGACCCCGCGGCGTCTCCCTCCGTCACGGTGAGGCCCGTCTCGCTGAGCACGATGGCCGCCGTGTCGTCGTCGGTGACCGTCACCGGCAGGTCCTTCGTTATGCTGGCGTAGTCCCCGCCCGAGGCGGTGTGCGTCAGCGTCCCGGTGTCGTTGGCGCCGTCGGCGTCCTGGCCCGCCTTGACCGTCACCGTCTGCGCGGTGTCCAGTTGTCCACGTGAAGGTCAGCATGTTGCTGCTCAGCGTGGTTCCCGACAGGCTCAGGTCCGTGCCGTCGTGTCCTGAATGGTGACCGTGACGCTGCCCGAGGGCTGGTGGCCAGCTGCACCGTGTAGCTCGACCCCGCAGCGTCTCCCTCCGTCACGGTGAGGTCCCGTCTCGCTGAGCACGATGGCCGCCTGTCGTCGTCGGTGACCCTCACCGGCAGGTCCTTCGTATGCTGGCGTAGTCCCGCCGAGGCGGTGTGCGTCAGCGTCCCGGTGTCGTTGGCGCCGTCGTTGTCCTGGCCCGCCTTGACCGTCACCGTCTGCGCCGTGTTCCAGTTGTCCACAGCGAAGGTCAGCGTCGTCTTGTCCAGCGTTAGGTCCGTGCTCGCCTGTCCCGTAATGGAGACCGTCACCCTGCCAGAGGGCTGTGTGGCCAGCTTGACGGTGTAGCGGTCGCCGGTGGCGTCCTCCTCGGTCACGGTGAGGGACTGCTTGGACAAGACCACGTTCCTGGTATCGCTATCGGTCAAGTTGACCGTTACGCTGTCCGCCGCAATCCCGGCGTAGTCGCCGCCGGACAGGTTGTGGGTCAGAGTGACCGTCTCACCGACTGCGTTGTCGTCCTTGACCGGCGTGACGGTGATCGTCTGCGCCGTGTTCCAGTTGGTGGTGGTGAAGGTCAACTGGTTGTTGGTCAGCGTGTCGCCCGACAACGACACTGCCGGGTCACTGCCGCCGATAGTGACAGTGACGGTGACCGTAGGGCCTGGAATTCAGATTCACGGTGTACGCGCCGGCCACCGCGGTCTCCCCGGACGCCGGCTCGTGCAGGCCAATGGAGGTGGGATCGATGGTCACACCCCGCGCGTCGTCGTCCAAGAGACCCACGTCGGCGACAACCTCGGACCGCTGGCCCCTGAGGTCCGCGCCCTGGGGCGAGCTGATCTTGAAGCCAAAGAACTCGGTATCCTCGCTCACGTCGTCGTCGGTCACTTGGACGGTGACAGTCTTGGTCGTCTGCCCGGAAGTGAAAGTGACGGTACCCGAAGTACTGGCGTAGTCCTCCTCCTCGGTGGCCCCGGCCAGGCCCTGCCGGGCTGTGAGCAGGCCCAGAAGCCCTGCCTCGCCAGTGGCGTAGTCCACGGTTACATCCCCTGCGCTCTGACCCATAAGCGTGAGCGTGAATGTGACCGGATCCTTTGCATTCTCGGAAACGTAGCTCACCGCTCCGGCGGGGCCCGCAACGCTTACCACCGGCTTCGGGTCGTCGTCCAAAGATAGAACCCGTGGCGGTCAGGGACGTTGCGTCGCCTTCCAGGTTTGCCTTGTTGTTTTGGTTGGTCAGCTGCAGGGTGAAGGTCTTTTTTGCGGGGCCGTACACCTGGTTGTCCGTGATGGGTATGCGAATGATGCCGGTGTCCCGGTTTGCCGGGATGCTAAAGATATTGTAGGTCTGGTCGGTGGTCACCTCCCGCGTGTAGTCGGTTCCGGCCACGGCGGTGCCGTCCACGGTGGCGTACCGGACCACTACGGGGACCGTGCGCAGGATTGGCCGAACGGATACCGTGAACTCCAAGTGGCCGTCGGACTCCGAGGCTTGGGCGTCATCCAGGTATATGTAAGCCTGGGTGGTGTTTTCAATTTGCACCCATATGTCTCTCACGGTCACGCTGCCGTAGTCGCCTCCGGATACCTGGTGAGAAATTACAGCATTCGTGAATGAAGTATCAGTCCCGTCATCCAGAGACACTACGGATATGGTCTGGGCGGTGCTCCAGTCGGAGGGGGTGAAGGTGAGGGTTTCGGGCGTGAGGCTGATTAGATCGCCTTGCCTGCCGGCTACGGTGACGGTAACCGTGTCCGTAGGCTCGCTATCCAGGACCAGGGAATACGTTGACGTCCCACCTTCCTTCATGCTGATGCCAGTGCCGGCGGCCAGCTTCGCAGGTGAAATAGTTATGCCCCTGGTGTCATCGTCGATGATGGTGAAGAGGCGGACCTGACGGGCAGGGAGTCCGCCGAGTCGCCGGCGACCA